GACGTATGCATACGTCCAATTCTAGAACACTGCTCATTTGTCATGAACAACTCTCTGATAGGTGACAAACTAAAAGTCGAAGGGATACAAGGTCACTTTGCATTTGAGAACACCAGGAGCTGACCGCAACCTTGATTACGTCCCCGTATGCAACGTGCTAGGACTAGAACCTTTCCGGAAGAGGCGACATAGAATGAATCCAACATTTTACTATAAAGTACTTTGTGAGCAAATGCACGCAAGCGTCCCAGAAATTAAAATGGTTGTAACATCTACTTACAATACACGTAATCACAAACAACTAGCTAAAACTGAGTGTTGTATGACCAATGTGGGAAGTAAGTTCTTGCTCAATAGGTTCTCCCATATCTGGAATAGACTTCTCAGGGAGATACGAACCGCCGGTTCATTATCTGTATTTCGTTTCCCACTTGATAAATTGCTCGCAGATGATGAGTCTATCACTCATTTGGTCCTATATATATGTTCTGGGATGATGAAAACACACTAGGACGTCTAAACGTGTAAATTAAGGCTATAACCAATCCCAAGTACTTTTTCCCCAGCGGACTCAAACGTTATAGCATATGGCGTTTTTGACTGCTACTCTACCAGTTTAGGTTGTGTAGTCAGTAAGGTAAACATCAGCAAAGTATATATCACCTTGATGTAGAGTCAGTTTTCCCGTACGTCCACAAATAAACGCGGTATGTCTAAAAACCTGTAGGAAAGTCACAAGAGCTATATTTATGTGCATAAATTAAAGTGTATATGTAGCTGGAGTGTCTCTAAGAGGACAGGAACTTTTCTCTTCCCAAGTTCGTCTTGTGTGGCATGTCACACTTCGGTTTCTGCTCGCGGTTTCCTTTTTCCTTCTCTTTTCGGCCTAAGTTTGAAGTAAAAACCTTGAGCATAATTTTCACCAAAAGTGTCTACTTACTGAGCATGCTACTTAGTACGCGATACCAGAAACTATTGAAAGAACTCATCAACTGGTTTCCCCCTACTGGTTACCAACTTTCTGAAAACTTCTACAGCGAACTTGCCCAGTTATCGACATCCTACATGCTACCGTGCAGGGAAACTTAGCTACAATAACTGGTCCAAGGCTTCTGGATGGTCATGATGGCAGCTTGAATCTCGACAAACATCTAAATATAAGAAATAAGCTCATCTAGCTGCTCAAAGCAGGGCATGTTAGCAAACAGACCCACGCAACAAAATTCTCCGGCACCCTATCTCATTTGACTGCACCTGATAGAAGACAATTAGCAGCCAACATACCCCCGTTGATAATGCTGTATGCTTCAGTGTGAATTCTGTGTGTGAAATTCCATCGCCACCGGACAATAGTCCTCCAAATGTTTGTTTCTTTGTACCACAACAGCCAATTCTGATGGCTTACTTCTGTAGTCCTGTGTAAGGTCACACTACGAGTGAGAAATGCGTGGACTTGGATTTCACGCCGATCATTTGGCCATACTAACACTCACAGTTACCGAAAACCGATGGAAGTGAGTTTTAGTTGGCCGACAATGCTATAAACATGTGAACTGATGTTAAAACGAATGTTTATCCGACTTTACACGGAACTATACCGCCAGGTTTACCATTTAGGTTATGTGTAACGCAAACGTCGAATTTTGCACGATTTTGGTACCACCTTATTGTGTAAAAAGAATGATGATTGGAGGCTAACGGAACTCATGAACAATCTGTATGTACTGTGAAGTGATATTTTCCCGTTCTCTCCATAACCTGCAGTCACTGTCGATATCATGATAAACCTTCATGCGATACCTTCCGAACCATTCGGGACAGCTCAACTAATAGAGATTTCTCAGCCATCATCACCTTGATGATGCCTGTAAACTGGCTTATCTCATGTTAAACTTTTAAGTTGAGAATAAAATATCTATTATTTACTATAACTCTAAAAGAAAACGGTTTCCTACTCAGAGTTGTAGATCAGAACATGCAGCCAAAGAACCTAGCCCAGCAAACACATTTGGCGCTGAAAAAGATTCTTTTGCTTGTTCTTGAATTCAAGAATGATATTGCTGCAGAGATCCTGAGGAGACGACCGTCAAAATCCTAAAACAGAGCACACTTCGCCGCTGACCTCGGGATTATTTTCTGCTGCAAAAAGCATTTTGGTTGATATGTGAAGGATAAGCTAACACACTGGGCCACGTGAGTGTGTGTAAGCTCGTTAACTTGCTCTTGTGGAGTTGGGTGCACAGATCGCACCATGCGTCCACTTGTAAAACGTGTCTGTGAACACCACCCAGTCAAGCGGGAAGGGGAGAATGTAAATGTATCTTCATTTTAATACCAGAAGACCCCGTAAACTCAGGCTACCTAGCTCCTTTCGGGAGCTCATTCACAATCCTCCGCAGGGCTCGATCAAACCACTGGAAGGGACTAAGATCAAGATATCTGTTTGTAGCTGAAGTATTAGCGATCCAGAAGTCCAAACCGGCGTTACTGGTTCAAAAAGGCACATCCAAACTTTATGTTTAGCATGGCCATCATAAAGCCATATCTGTCATGGATTCATTTTTACCAGGTAATCACACATGTGCTTCCTTCACACTTTATTCATTTTCCTACTCTGTCATAGATTCGACCTGCATAACGTGATTACAATCTTGTTTCCATGATCCCTAGTTCATTTTCTTACTCTGTCATGGATTTATCCGGTATTACATAATCTCAGTTTCATTTTCATAACCTTTGGTCCAGCCTCCTACTTTGCCATAAATTCATCCCGTACTACGTGATTACACTTAATTTCATAATCCTTTGTCCATTTTCCTATTTTTAACGCAAACATGTATCAGTTAACTTCCTTTGGTTACTGAGTTTATTCTACCCCTAACCGGAAATAATTCTGGAACGTTCTGCCCAATGTAACATATACTCACGTATGTACAGCCTAGCAAACGAACTCATCGAAAAGGAAATTTTTTCTTCTCTAAGACCGCGTCTTGTTTTTGAGGTAGGGTTAAATCAGCTCTTAGCAGGGCTTCAGTCGCCCAACATCTGGAGTGAACCTGGCCGGGAAGCGGATGTTGGTCCACCAACGCTCCATGAGTTTGAGAAAGCTGCACTGAACTTGAAGTGACCACCAGCAGCAGAACCTAACAGCTTGTCGCCTGAAGTTTTAACAGATAGCGGTAGGAAGTTTCCAGTTAAAGCGGCAGAGGTGCTAGATAGCGAATGGGAACCAGAAGTAGTGCCATAAGACCGGTCTACTTTTCTGATAATCTCAGTCTATAAGAACGGGGTGGAAATCTTGCGAAAACCTCAAGTGAATCATCATAAGAATATATTCTTGCTGGGAATGCCTAGATGGAGGCTGTATCGCCAATCCCACTCAACACGGCTCATGGACGGGACGGTCACGTGCTACGTTCTTGATGGCCTCTTGGTGTGGCTTGACCAGTAAATGAGGCGAAAAGCAATACGGGCTACTCGTGACAACCATGGAGTTCGAGAGCAGGTAACTCGAGAAAGCCAGGAATATTTCGGACCAGGACAATGGTCCCATCATATTTTCGCCTTCCGGAGGATTCTTAAACACAGACACTCACAACTGGCGGTCGTACCCACCATATTTCCTGACCTGAAGGTGGCGTTTAACTGTCTACCGTGAGGTATTGGGGCAGTATATGAGCGTGAAGGGAGTACCTTGCAAGTATACGGCACTACTCAAGGTAACATCAAAATATGGGGGGCAGTGGGTGAGGAAGAGGATCCTAGGACACTCTGTTGCAGCTGGAGTCCTGGTAAGTTGCAAATGGTTTAAGCATTGAACTGGAGAAGTGCGAGGTGATGTGTCTTCGCATACCAGAGGAGATGGAAACCAGCCACACTTTTAAAAAGCGTGCAATCACCAAGATATCCACAGGGAAGGACCTAGGACTCAACTTTCCGGCACATTGGATACTACTGACATTTGTAACGGAATGGCAACGAAAGAGAACGGCGTCATGCACTTTCTAAGGAAGTAGGTTTGATTGTTAACTCCAGAATCCTTCTTTATGGTATTTAAACTCCTGTTAGACCACACGTAAAGGTGTTCAATACGATCCCCGCCATTACTAGACAGAGGCGCTAATGCTATCGAGAAGGTACGGAGGTGAGCGATAAGGTCGGTTCCCAGAATAACAGAGGGGACTTATGCGCAGTGCCTCGGACAACTCAAATTGTTCACGTTAAGCAATCAAAGGAAAGGAGGTAACCTAATAACAGTCTACAAGATAATTCGCCGAGCAAACCACCCAAATAGGTCAATATTGTTAGCCCCAAACCAAAAGTTTCGCAGAAACCACACTTGCATGCCCTGCCTTGGGGCTAAGACGACTGTGAGATCAAACTTCTTCTCACACACAGTATGTGCCTTATGGCACACCTCGTTGAAGGAAATAGCCACAGCTGCATCAGTTGAATTATTTAAACAACTACTGGATAAATGTCTGAGTCCAGACGGCTTACCACGAACATTCATCGCTGGCAACTGAAGACATACAGATCCATCTCTGTATTCCCCAAACCTAGTCTCTGCAGTAAGACGCATCCCTTCTACACATTGTCAGTAGCAACACTTGTTTTCCCGAGTACCATTCACGCCTTTTTAATCCCCCATTCACCCCACTTCTAGCACTTTTTAAGTATCACTTCATGTTTACTTGCAGGTGCTTGCAAAAAAGGGAGTTGCGAAAGAATAACTGATACTATCAACAGCTCCGTTGCTCCCTAGACAAACCAGGTTACAGTTAGCAGGAAAAATATCCTCAAGCTGATACTCACTACATCCAAAGCCATTAACAAAACATCCTAGAGAGTTATACGACCGCCGAAGGAATGTGACCGAAAGAAGGGAACCAAACCTTGTGACATAGAAGCGAGAGTTCAAAAACTACAAGTGTCCTGTAGTCGCACTGTCGATGTTGGGTCGTAGGGCATAATTTTGTTCAAAACATTACCATAATTATATGACCTCAACGTATGTAAGCATTCACTTCAAAAATACCTGTGATAGACCGATTCTTTCCATGGGGCGAGAAAGTTTCGTGGATAGAAACCATATCCTCATTTTACTGCCCACGATTTAGTCCTTTTTTCTGAAGTTCTCCATTTTACTGTTTCTTATCACATCTCCCCTGAGCCTACCTAGGTTTACTTCCTTCATAGCTTTCACTCCTTCTGATTCCTCCTATTAACTCTTCTATGTTATTCTTGGCGTTATTTTCATCCTTCGTACCTATCCTTTAAGAAAAGTCCGAACAACTGTATGGTGGCAGGATTTTTGAAGAACCTGGCAGCAACAGAGTCACGGGGTAAATAATACATCTCTTTGCAGTTCTGCTTGAAAGTTACTCCAATATATATCAGTGAGCAGTGCCATTTTTTTAATTCTAATACACATAAAAAAATCCTACAAAGTTAACCAACGTACAGTCTTCTGCCAGGTATGGATGACAGGATCTGCTGCATAGGGATTCACTTAGGAATTGAAAATTCAGAATCAGAAGTAAGAACAAAGAAACAAACTGGTTTATGCACGCTAGGAAAAAACACAGCCTATTGGGCATTGGATCCAACATCCAATATCGGATATTCGGACCCTGAATGACCTTTTGAACAGGTTTTTGTGGTATTTAGCAGCGCGCTATTCGCCTGGACTCTCAGTAACTGCTCTGGAGGGTGACGAAGTGAGTAATCTTATCACAGGTTGTTTACTAATTAGTACCGTATTCTTTCTAAAGTTTTAAGACAAAGATTTGGAATTGTTCTTTGTATTCATCTCGCGACTGATTATATATTAGCTCATGAACAATTTGTAAACTGCTCTATTATGCAGTCAAGTATAAAAGGCTTAAAAGTAGTTAGATTAATCTTTTACAATCAAAACAAATGACACAAAATTAGATACCCCGTGTGGAGCTCTTTTCACTACACGGGTGAAGCTTTTTATCGCGTCGAAACTTACATACAAGCAATTACTTGGAGACTAACCTTCATGCTTAAATGAATTCATAGACAGAAGTTTCCGAACTGCATCTAAAGCTTTCGCCCGACGAGTTGCATTGCGTTTATGGAGACAAACATTAAACCATGGTACTTCATCATGAAGGGCTTTCAGTCGATGTCTGACTCAAACTTCGTGTTGTAGAATTAGCGAACTGCGGTTCCTTGAGTTCTACGTCTGTCTTATTGGAATACGTTCTGAGTTTGGAATGGTCACAATTATATTCCCGGTTCTGAAAAACCTGAAAGGGTAGATATACGATTAATTAATTAATCTGGTCTCAAGTTAGTACTACTGCATCTGATCTCCAGAAAGCTTCTCGAGTATAGCCCATCGGTACCGTAGGACCCAAGGTGTGCGTCTAGCCTCCTTTTAAAGGTATAAGGGGATGGGGCTGTAACAACTGCTGAAGGGAGAGAATTCCACAGTTTACAGACTGTAACTGCAAATGAGTTAGCACAGATCTTTGTACGTGCTCTCTCATGCTCTATTCTTAACGGGTGACCCCTCAAGTCACGTTTCCGACTAAAGCTTAGAAGGGATCTGTTGGGATGGAGGGGATTATGGGCGATGTGGTACATCATGATCATATCCCCTGTGATCCTCCGGTGTTGTACTGGGTGCAGCTGAAGAGCAACTAAGCGGTCTGGGTACGGTTTGTGCCGTAACCCAATCACTTTCTTTGTAGCTCTTCTCTGTACCCGTTCTAGGATGGCAATGTCCTTTTCAAGTATGAGGACATTACAAGCGAATTTTTTTCGAAATGAGGACGAATGTACAGAGCATACACTGTGGTGAAAAGAGGAGTTAGACACCCTAAGGTTCGCGAGAGAAACCCCAAGATTCCATAAGCCCTATTGGCTGCAAGGCGACAGTGAACAGAGGCTCCTAGTGTATCATTTAGTGTAACTCCCAGATCTTGTTCCATGTTAGAGTGACAGATATTTATTTCACCTAGAGAGTAAGAACTGGGACTGCCTTTATGTTTGTCAACTATCATAATTCGACACTTCTTCGAGTTGAGAGAAAGCAGGTTTTCTGTAGTCCAATTAAGGATTTTCGTAAGGTCCTCCTGGAAGATCGAAATATCCGTTGGTTCCTGTATTTCCCTCCAGATCTTCAGATCATCGGCGTATAATAGTGAATGTGAATTAAGGACCCTGGTAGGTCATTGATAAAAGCAAGAAACAGTGGTGGGCCCAGTATGGAACCTTGAGGCACACCACTCAGCATCGGGAACCAGTCAGATAGAGAGGAGCCAACTCTGACTGCACCCTGGTGTACAGATAATCTCTAAGCCAGATTAATAATTTTCCGTGTACACCCATGAGCTGAAGTTTCTTACAAAGGATATCATGATTTACCTTGTCAAAGGCCTTAGAAAAGTCAAGTAAACCAATGTGTATAGGCTTTTTCTTCTGGACAGAAAGTGTCCAGCTATTCCAAGCTATCAACAAGTTGGTGTTACATGACCTTCGTAGTAGAAAGCCATACTGACAGTCGTTTAGGATTGATTTCTGAAGTGATCACGAAGTGAGTCATTTATGACTCTCTCCATGACCTTCGCAACTGAAGAGATCAGGGAGATTGGTCTGTAGTTGGAGGCGAGTAGTTTGTTTCCACCTTTATAAATTGGGACGACAGCCACCCGTTTCCAATCAGAGGGTAACCTGCCTTCCAGAAACGAGCATTTGAAGAGGTTTGCTAGTGGGGCACACAGAACTTCAGCACACTCCTTGAGTGCTCTTGGGTGAATACCATCGATTCCTGGAGACTTATTCGGGTTCAGTTTCTTTAATATTTCCATAATTACAGAGGGTTTAAACTCTATATGATTTAGTCCCTCTGTGATACGGGTGTCCGACAGAGGCGGGTTTTTGTCTCCCAAATGACAGTTGTTTTGGAACTCATGAGCTAGTAGGTTTGCAACTTCGGAGTTGGAATAGAGAATCTCCAAACTAATGGGGTCCTGTAAACTTAGTGAACTGTTACTCTTCTGTTTCATCAACGAGTACAGTATCCCATGATTCCCCTCCAGGGTTCTACAAAGTTGTGTCTGGTGGTTTATTCTGTCATTTCTGATCCTTACTGAACATTTACGGATGTCTTTATAATTTAGCCAGTCAAAAGGGCTATTGGTGCACCTCCATAGATTCCAAGACGACCGTTTACGCCGTATAAGTTTGCGCGTGCTAGACTTAAGCCAGGAGGAGTAGAACTTGTTAGTTCTTCTTGGGATCAGAGGAGTGTTGTCTTCTATCGTCTGTAGGATTATATTCTTCAACAGACCCCATCTAGCATCAAGATCCAGTAGGTCATCGCAATTTAAGCAAGCGGAACCTTCTAGATCTTGCCGAACCTTCTCGAAATCAGTTCTCTTGTAATTCCTAACTAGAGGCTGATCGGGAACGGGTGGCTTAGATACAGAAATATTGAAGGAGATAACTGCATGGTCACTTAGGCCAAGAGGGCTGAAAACATTCAAGTTGCTTACCCCAATGAACTGATTTGTGAAAATATAATCTAGTCGGGATGCCTTACCGTCAGGCCCCCAGCGAGTACACTGGGAAACATGTTCTGCCAACAATTCCCGAAAGTCTTTTAGAGCAGTAGATGGACTTTCTGTGGTAAAGAGTTGAGGAAAGTTAAAATCTCCATAATGAGGACCTGTGGGAAGTTCAGTTCCAGGGCTCCTCTAATGGACTGTATTAACATTTTATTTAGCGTGGCATCAGCTGCAGGAGGGCGGTATAAAACTCCAACTAAACACGGACCTCCGCAGCACTTAATGCCACACCAGAGGACATCTTTAATGCCAATTCTATGAGATTGAATCTCATGGACTTTTAAGGAAGGGCAGGTGTAAAGAGCAACGCCACCTCCTGGACCCTCCGGTCTATCCTTTCGGATTAGGCTGAGCTGTCCTAAACGAACTTCCTCGTCTTTTATGTTTTCTGATAGCCATGTTTCACAGAAAGCCATTATGCTAGGACTTTCCTCATCCACTAATAACCTTAACTCAGGTACCTTGGAGCGTAGGCCTCGTACATTGCTGAAGGTACAGCGAATAAGAGTATGAGGGCCGGAGGTCCCAGCAACCGGTTGAGTTAAGCATGAGTTGCCAGCCTTTAAATGGCCGGCTTTGACAAGTTTTTTGATAGGCGGTGGAACCAAGGGCTACTGTATCCACTGATCTCTTTGACTGAGAACTGGTGCCGGGTTCTTCGATCTGGGACAAGGTCGATAAATACTCTTGCTCATCGTCCAGCCGTTCTACCGTTAGGTGTGCGTTGGCCAACGGTAAGCGCTTGAATCGTCTCTCAGTCTGCCTTTGTTCCCTGGGTCTGCACTCGCTTATCTTTATTTCTCTAGGGAATGTATCAGATACATTATACCAGGATTCCAAGGTAGTTCTAACCATGTCCGGAGAGTCAAGGGTTACTTGGAGTAGCCTGGGAGTACGTATAGTCGAGAGGTGAGCCGGCCTTGGAAGACGATTAATTCTTTCTCCCTCACATCGATTTGGAGTTTGCTGACAATATATCTCCACTGATTTATGTCGTGGATAAGTTCGGCAGTATCGGTACCCGAACATTCGGGAATCCCGTGTATAATTACCGAGCAGCATAACTCTTGAGAGTGAATCTTCTTGCTGTTGCGAAGAAGTTCTCGCACTGACCAGGGTCTATCAGGCCTAATCCTGACGTCAGACAGTTTACGTTTCACCAACTGATGACCTTTCAGAAGGATGTGTTCGGACTGACGTGTACTATCAAGAGATACTCTTAAAGGTCTAGGAGAGCCTTTGGGGGCGTTGAAGAGGTGGACTGCAGAGAGAGGTTCCTAGGAGTTTGCAAACACTCTTCCATTGGTCAAGGTCATTTTCTTCACGATCAGTCAATAGGGAGGAGCCACTTTCCTGAACGTTGAAGAGTATGAGTGGTCTAAGATTGAGGTTATGGTCTGTCTTTTGGAGCTTATTCCAACTTGTGAATACAGACTCAGATTTCTGATGAGCCTTTTGCGAGTGACTCGGAAGACCTGAGGTGCCAGCTGTGGGAGTTTTCTTGATGATTGAAAGAGGCTGGTGGTGAAATGCAGGTGGCTTCCGCCCTGAGTTACAGGTGGTGGGAGCAAGATCTGCTTTTTTCGGAACGTTTTTCGCCTGAGTAGGAGGGGCAATGTTCAGCTTATGGTTCGGCTTCTCATAAGGCTGAGTAGTCGTTACTCTGTCAGACTTACGATCGTTACTTAATGTTCCGTTTTTAACTGAACTGATCTGCCTGCATTTCTTCAGACCTTTCTTTCGGCGCTTATCAGGTGTGAGATTCCCATTCATCACTGAGGGGATCGGTTCCAAAGGCATGCTAATGGGGGGACAGTACGTGACAGTGATGAATTCGCTACTTCCCGTACTGCTAACTTGAGGGATCTTTTTATGGCCATGAGACTTCTTTAGATTGAGGCTGGTTTATGTAGAGATCTCAGCCTTAAGGTGGTCGGAGTTCTATCTCACTAGCTCTAGGCCTATTTGGTACTTACTTTTGGACCTACAACATGGACAAAAATACCAATCACCATCAAAAGGGCTAGTAAGCAGTGCTTCGTAATAACCAGATGGCTGGCTGGAATCACAGGAGCAGTGAGTCCGCTGAGAGCAAAGCTCACAACCCATCGCCTTAG